CTTTGGGGTCCATAGGGAATAAGTAAAGCGCTATACAAATACAGGCCATTTACCATTTATATTATTGTAGGGTGTTGACCTTACAATATAAAGTGCCTTGAAGCAACTGTTGTTGTGATTTGGTGCTATTTAATAAAACGTAACTGAACTGAACTCTGAATGTGTGATCAGCCAAATGAAAATCAGTTAAGACTTCTGACTTTCATGGACTCATTCTCAGAATATTGTGATCACACCCCTACACCTCTTTACACAAGTTTCAGGGTAAAGATCTCACAGACAAACAGGAGCATTTGTACCCTGAATGTGCAACTCTGCTCTATGGACTGTGAAAGCTGAACGAATTATCCGGCTTTGAGCTTTTAATTAAAAATACAACAATACTTTCAAACATAATCTGAGAAAGTTGTGCAGCCACTTGCAGATCATCGTTTCTGAGATAGTAAACACAACAGGAAAGACTCTGTGATCTAAATAGAGTAGCTTTGCCGCAGGAACTGCTTCACTAATTTGGAAATTACATTATCACTCAGTCATGAGTCACACATTTTTTTGCATGGTGGCAAATCTTTATTAGCAGGCACATATGATTATATATGCTGCACACTGATTCTGTATTATCTAAAATGTACTTGCTCATATAGCTTGCAAATTGTGGACTTACTCAGTGGGGAGGGTTGTTGTATAATAGGTGAAAACTTGCATATTGTATTAAACAGTTTCCACATTCCCTGGATTTATACACATTGGCATCCTTGTTTCAAACATTGATGTCCACTAAGGTTAAAACAGGGGCCTGATTTACTAAACTGAGAGTGGAAAGTCTTTTGTTTTATCTACCAAGAGTAAAAGGTTTTGTGTTTTGTTCCTGCAATTTTGAATAGTTGAATTATCACCTGGTGATTATGTAACCAACATGAAATGCCACTTTTGTAATGACAGCCCACCACTTGAAGGGTCAGGCATTTTAAGCTTTCTGTGCCTCGTTTCACTGTGTTTTGTGCCAGCTATAAAAAAAAAAAAAAGGTCATCACAAATTGCCAACAGTGAGAGTAAATCCTGGACTGATGGCAGTGATTTTGCATGTCTTGCAATTATAAAGTCAGCAGTGCCGACCTCTCTAAGTAGTAACTTTTTGGGTTTTTTGGGTTTCTCCCATAAATCCCGTAAAGCTAGAACCATGTACTAGAAAACAAAGACAAATTAAATTTATTTAGCTCATTTCATTATATATGTATATATATGAAAACTAAATCTGCTTAATACAAAATATTAAGACATGAACCCCTCCCCCCCAAAATAAAAAAATTAACTACTCTAAGTTTACAATGTCTTAAGGGAGTGAAAACTGCAAAACAGAACAAACAACAACAACAAAAAATATTAAGTGTAGGCCTTTGTGAATAGAAGGGTTTGGAGTCTGTTTGACACACAGATTTAGTTGATCTCAATTTAATCAAAATTTTATATTGCGCTGGGAGCCATTGAAGTCATTTCATTACTGGGGTAATGCCGGTAAATTGCGGGTAAAACAGTGACCTGTAAGGATTCTGGCTGCTGCATTTTGGACAAGCTGAAGACGTCGATGATGTTGATCATTTGGGAAATCCTGCAAATAGAGCGTTGCAATAATATAACCTACTTGATTTGAATGCATGAACGAATTTCTCAGAGTCAGTTTTAGAGAAGATTTTTCTAATCTTAGATACATTTTAAGTTGTAGAAAGCAGTTCTGGTAACTACAATGATGTGGTTATCAAAACTGAGGTCACTTTTTAAAATGATACCAAGGTTCGTGACTTGATCACTGTGTTTTAGAGAAATGGATGATAAATATGAACAAATTTTGGACCACAAGTATTTCTGTCCTGACTCTGTTCAGTTCTAAAAAGTTTTGAGACATTCAGGACTTCAAGTCATGAATGCAGCTTATTGGTTTATGAACAGAGGTTACATCATAAGAGGGAAGTGGTAAGTACAACTGTGTGTCATCGCTATAAGAATATGAGGCTATATTATGACAGTACCAAGTGGGAGCATGTAAAAGTTGAACAGTAATGGACCAAGGACTGACCCTTGAGGAACCCCCAATTGAATTTTGTATTTGAATGGATCTAAAACTGCTAATTGAAACATAAAAAAACGTCAACCCTTTAGATATAATGTGTCTGACCTGTTAAACCTACTGAGTCATGAAGCCTTTAGTTAGATTATGATATGGTACAATTATTAATTACTAATAGATCTAAGTTAGTTTTATTGGGTGGCAGTGTGATTACAGCACATTTAAAAGAAACATGGAAAATGCCAAACTGGAGAGAGCCGTTGATAAAATTTACTAAAAGATTTGTAAAACAGTGAAATACAGATTTGACAACTTACATATATTAATTTTGTATCATTTTTGCTATAGCTGGCATTTTTGAGAAATTTCTTGCTCACAGTTGTCAGATAGACACATATAATAGAGGTTGGGCTTAAAAACCACACTGATTAAGCTTTTGCATGAGTTCAATAAGGAAGATCTGTTTTCACTCATCTGCTCACTTCTAGTCTGCTGTTATTATGTTCTTTACTGTATTCAAAGATTCAGACGTGTAGCCCTGTATTATTTAATGGTAAATGGACTGATTCTTATATTTTCTCCCAGAGTATTCAAAGAGCTCTACACAACATGGCACATTCACCCATTCACTGTCTTCTATGCTTTTAAGTGCTTTCTAACTACCATTCACACTCATACTCCGATGGATGCATCGGAGAGCAACATGGGGTTAATATCTTATCAAGGATATTTGGCATGCAGACTAGTGGGAGCCAGGGATCGAACCACCAACCTTCCGATCAACAGATGACCTGCTTTACCTCCTGAGGTGCAGTCATACAGCCATGAGCTACGGTCTATATGATAATATTAGACATAATATTATAACATTTCCCCCTCAATATTATCTTACTTTGGTGCATTTTATTTGCCAAAAATGAAACAAAAAAAACAGTGAACATAAGTCAAAGATGAAATTCACATGCAGCCAAATTCTTCTTCTTGTTAATCATGAAGTTGATAATCATGAAGTGAAAATCTGATATTGTGACAGTGATGGTGTGGATGCCACTAACCCTTTTTAATTTGGTTTTTCACTAAGATTCAAAGCGGAGGTTTTCAAGCTTTACCAACTCTGCGTTTGAGTGCAAAATTACCCGCATATATCATTCACATTAGGTGTTATTTACAACGACACTAATATTTTCAATGCTTGTGCCTTTTGAAAACACACTTTGGAGCATGCTGCGCATCAAGGCCTTACTGGCACTGACATCTGCCATTTGATTTCTAAACAGCCTCTTCTCCATCAGTGCGTATTTGTCAAGAGCCTGACTGCTGCTCTGATTTGGCATTGGAGTAAATAAATATGGTTTAGCTGATTGTGAGGTGCGGAGCTGCTACATTAATCACCGATGACAGGGCGGGCATGTTGAAGACCAGCAATTAATGCAAGAGACATGCACAAACAAACAGAAATAAAGCTGTTGATTCTGCACGTACGATGACCACAGGAGAGCTTAGTCATGCCACATTAATATTACTGTGCAGTCATTAGCTACAGCAGCCGGCTCTGGTGCGCGTTAAACACTACCACATAATGAATACGTGAGTCTGTGTGCCAGTGTTAGGAGGAAATCTGTGAGTCTGGCACAGACAAGCTGTCACAGGCACAACATACACCTAGAAGAGAGGTAGCTCTTATTGCTTCAATAATGTTTCGCCCATCATATTGATTTTCTCACCGCTGGTATAATTACAACAACTTGACTCCAGGCTGTGGGCATTTTGTGTTCAAAAAGGTCTGTTGATTGTAAGTTGAAGATTAAACCTTTAAATCTTTAACCAGTATTGTTGCGTAACAGTGCTTTAAAGAAACACTTGGTGTACAGACTCTACGTGATTTCTTGTGTTAATAAAAGCTGTTAGTTTCTTGCTGTTCCTATTTTTATTTAAAATATATCCTTTCTCAGCAATGCCTTTGTTTGTGTCTACACTCACTGGACACTTTATTTATCACACCTTGTTACTACTGGGGTGGACCCTCTTTTACCTTTGCCTTTAATTCTTGATGGCAGAGATTCAACAAGGTGCTGAAAACATTCCTCAGAGATTTTGGGAGATTTTATGAGATCACATCTCAAAGTTGCTCCTTTTGGATTGGTTGAGGCCATTGGACTAAACTCCTTTTCATGGTCAAGAAACCAATTTGACATTATTTTAGTGGTCAAAAAGGGATGGACATGATCAGCAACAATACTCAGGTAGGCATGGCATTTAAACAATGCTCATTTGGTACTGAGGAAACCAAAGTGTGCCCAAAAATATATTACACCACCACCACCAGCCTGAACTTTTAATACAAGGCAGGATGCATGCCATCTTTCTGTTTATGCCAAATTCTGAACCTGCCATGTGAATATTGCAGAAGAAATCGAGACTCATTAGACCACTTTTTCCAATCTTCAGTTCTGTCTAATTTTAGTGAGCGTGTGAAAATTGTGGCTTTAGTTTCCTGTTCAGGTCATTGTGACCATGTCTACATGCATAAATGCATTGAGTTGGTGACATGTGATTGGCTAATAAAATATTAGCAATAATGAGCAGTAGTGTGTTTTCCCTCCTTTTTCTTCTTTATCAACTTCTCCCCTCTAATTATCTACAGCTTGGTGTACTTTCAGGTTGCAGTCACATAACCAACACAATTACCTCACATGTTTATCTCTAATTACTTTTCCTTGACTTCAGTGTCAAAAGCTTTGAGGTGAAGTACCTGTGTGACGACGACCTCTTCAAAAGTGGCCCACACTGCTCACACCACTTTCATTAGGATGCTTAATAATGTGGTGGGTGATGGAGATGGAGAAGCGGCTGGAGGCCCTGGTGATACTACAGAAGTAGTACAGCCTTATCTGTTCTTAGTATTTTTCTTTATGCAGGCTATATGAACTTAGACGTTGATGTGAATAATGTTTCCATTACCAAGTGGGAAAAAGTGAGAAACTTTGCAGTCACAATGAAATAAAATGGTTTTAATAAGAAATGTGGCTCACCATGCTGGCCACTCATGTTGTCCACTCATCTACTTAAACGCTTCCTTTATTAAAACTTTTAGAATCTCTGACATGACTCCAATTAAAGGTAATCCCAAAAGCTGGAAGTACAGCAACCCCGAAAATGAGAACAAAACCACAGCAAAATGAGTTACACTACAACATTCACCTCTCTTTGAACTTTGAAATAGGGAAAATTATCTTTATTTATACAGTGAGCTTGGCAAACTGTTAAGATTCAAAACATATCGGCATATTAAATCATTACGGCACAGGCGGTAATTTACATGATCTGTTTCACTTGTCAGGTATGTTGATCATTTTGGTTTGTGAACGTTTGAATGGTGTGCTGCTATGAACCCTGGAAAGGCCTTATTTTCTTAGAGTTGGGAAGTGTATCATCTGCTAAAGGAGGTAAGGAAGCATGCACTGAGGCACCTTTTCTTTGCAACTTGAGAATTTGACCAGCTCTTATTACGGCTGCCATGCAGATAATTTAATCAGAAGCCCTCTTAAGTACAAATGACTATTTGACCACAACCAAAGTCACATCTCTGCTTTTGTCTTTGTTTTATCATCTGTTTACTGTCCTGTTTTCCGGCTTGTGTCCTGCCTTAGTACTGGTTTGTTTTCTCATGTTATTCTCATGAGTTTTGATTTTTCTTTGTATTCAATGTGTGTCTGCTCATCACTGCAGCTTTTTAATTCACACCTATTTATGAGCTTACTAAGTCACTTTAGTCTTTCAAAATCTACCAATATTTACTTCCTGAATTCCCAAAACACAACATAAACACCAAAATTCACTTAACATTTCAATATGTGCCGTTTTAGTGTTTTGCACAGAGACAGTAAAGTGAACAGAAGGATGGGCGGCACTGTTGTGCTCCCACTGGGGAGCCTCACCTGTTCTAGCAGGTCCTCCACTTTCCTTTGCCAGCTCTCCCTGGCATTGCTCAGTTCCTGCTCCTTGCTTTGCGCCAGCTGAGCCAAGGCTGAGTTTTTGTCCTCCTCGTGCTCCTCTTTCAGCTCCTCACGTAGCTTCTTACACTCCTGCCTATAGCACAGCACGAAATGAAACACATATGCGTTTATGTTTCAGGTGCTTTATTAATCATCCAGTGTGATTCACAAAACCTGTGCGGAAAAATACACAAATTCAATCTGTGAACTGCGAAGTTCCAGAAAACCTGAGAATAAAACAGTGTGACAGAGGAATCACGTAAATCTTAGTGAGCTCAATAAAGACCCTTCAGCAGCAGCGTTACTGACAGGTAGCTTGGATCAGAGGACGCTCCATTTCAGCACTTTTACCGCCGTTTGTAAGATGGAAATTTGATTTTTGGAAAACAGCGGGAAACTCCTCAAACTTCTTTCTTGTGAGTGAATAACCATAAATCATTGGAACTGGGGGATTGCCTATATTGATTAAGTGTCAACTCTCAAACTGATTTATGTGCTGTGCTGACAAGAAATTGAGCACAGCGTTAGTTCAATCAGGGCATGCAGTCAAGCCCAGCAGTGACCACAGATAAAATGATTTTAACACCCACTCATGTCAGCTGATACCCTCTTATAGATTCAGGTGGCAAATTTAATATAGGGCCTACTGCTTTAGTGTGGCAGCCACTTTGCAACCCACTTCTGCCAGGTGGCTCTAAAAACTCCCTGAGGGAGTCCCTCCCTTTAGTCAATCAAGAGTGCTGACAGAGACTAGAAACAGCACATTCCTCCCAAATTAGCATCGTCGCCCTGTTAAATCCTGTTAAAATCTTTCTCCTTACATATAAAATCTTGAACAATCAGGCCCGTATCATATCTTAAAGACCTTGTAGCATCATATTATCCTAAAAGATCACTTTGGTCTCAGACTGCTCCTGTACTTTAGAATCGGGCCCCTCTACTTTGAATCAGGCTCCTCGCACTGAGCTTTTCTTCTTCTCTCATCTCTTTTTCACTCTCTGTGTATTCATACACCACTACTTTAGTTAATCATTAGTTATTATTCATCTCTATCACTCTCTCACAGTGTGTCCTTTGTCCTCTCTTCCTCCCCTCACCCCCATCCGGTCGTGGCAGAATGTTGCCCCTCCCTGAGCCTGTTTCTGTCGGATGTTTTTCCTTCCCTCTGTCGCCAAGTGCTTGCTCATGGGGGGGTCATGTGATTGTTGGGGTTTCTTTCTAATATTGTAGCGTCTTTACCTTACAATATAAAACACCTTGAGGGGACTGTTGTTGTGAATTGGTGCTATATAAATAACCCCAGCTCCTCCTTTCACGCTTTATCTGACTTAATCTGAAATCTGCTGTCAATGATGCTTGATCTTCTCTGTGCTCCTGCTGATGCCCTCCCCATCACCAGTTTTTACTGTCTGCATAATGAAGGGTGGCAAGGTCCCAGAACAGAGCTGCCAAAAAATGAATTACTCCAGTCATAAATATTAATCTTCTTTTGTCTACAGGGGTCTTGACTGAACTGAAATTATGGATTGCCTGGAGGGTATCAAATAAATCTAACAGGTATGCTCTGGGAAAATAAGGAACTAGAATTCAGCTAATTCCCCCAAATGTTGTGTGTTAGGTTTAGGCTGATTTTGTGGAGATGACAACAAAGTCTGAAAGAAGAGACTCAAACAAGCAGCTAGGAATTGGCTTGAAAAGTAAAGGTGCTTCAGAGAGCTCTATAACACCTTTATGGGAACAATAAGTTGTCCTGAATCATTAGACCTCAACACAGCTTCCACTGAGCGCCCATCACTCTCCAACACTTCGGCTAACAGCTCTGCGAATGGCAATGTGTGTGTCTGCGCGTTGCCAATGTGATAGCTGTGTGGGAGTTGAAATGGCAGCTGTTAAATGAAGTATCCAGGCAAACACATTTTTTCTCTTACTTCGAGAGCTGCAAAGTGTCAGACTGAAGGCAGGCTATAACACACACAGCGATGCAGTCACACACCACAAAGTCACGTTCATAATGCGGCACACTTGACACGTGTCATCATTCACGTCCTCGTTCGGCATAAAGCAGACGTTCTCCCTCTCTCTTGCTCTCTCACAGACACATCCAGACTTGAGGCGTCAAAGATCTCTGCTCTTCTCTTCTCTGCTGTGCAGGAAGAGCCGAGGGCAAATGGAAAGAGGTAAAAACATGAAGGGATGAAGGAACTTTCAAAGATGGAAGGAATATCCGGATCAAATGTGGGATAATTGGTTGGATTCAGGGATCTGTACAGCCGCATGTGCTCATTTAAGGTGCGTGTGACATTATAATTTACTGTGTGCTCAAAATATGTAATCATTCTAACAAGAACTTTGTTCGTACTTTTAAAATACACAGTTACAATGTGCTTCACAATCTGGTTAAAACTGGGGCGCCACTGTAACTCACCTGGTTGAGCTAGCAACCCGGACACTAAAGGCTAGGGACCTTATGGCAATTCGAGACAGAAGATTTCCCATGTGTCATTCGCCCTCACTCTCTCACCCCCTTCCTGTCTACTCTCTGCACTGTCCACCAAATAGGCTAAAACATAATCAAAGAAAATTAAAAATAAACCTTTTAAAGCATAAATGATTTTTTTGTGTTCTAAATTGCAATAAAATCTAACCTTTTATACTTGTATACATACGTCAGCATGCACAATTCATTTTGTTCATTTTATTATTGTGACATGGAAACCCAAATAACAAGAAACCAGAGCCACAGTAGCACCATAAACAATCCAACCTGATGTTTTCCCCAAGATTTGCAAACAAAGGTTAATAACTTATAAACACCCAAAATTACAAATCAGCCACATAATTCAATCATCACAATCTGTACATAAAAACACTTCTATTTTTTCAAAACATCCCACTAGATGAAGGTATTCTTAACTTATCATAACTAAGGACTATACAGAAAAAGGTCACTCATTGTTTGTTGTTGTCCTAAACAGGGTTTAATACTGTATGTTTAGTTAATTTGAACATATGCAAATTTTTGTCTATGACAGATTCTTTTCAATGACTTTACTGTAGATTTGCTGCAGTGCATTGCCCTGTTGCATGACCCAGTTTGGGCCAAGCTTTAGACAAGTGCATCACATTTGACTTTAGAATATTTTGGTACACAGAAGAGTTTCGTGGTTGACTCAGTGTCTCCGAGGCACCCAGGTGCCAGGTAGCTATGAAATAGGGGTGGGTTTTGATAATCGATTTATCGATTAAAATCGATTCTGGCTTGGATAACGTGATATCGATTCATTAAAATCCTGAATCGATTTTTTAATATTAATTTATTTTGC